CGCGGGGTCAGGATCCAAAAACACATCGGATTTGCTACATTTCTGAAATTCGGTGCCACCCCTCACGCAGATCCGCGGGGTCAGGGTCCAAAAACGCAAAGGACGTGCCACATTTCTTAAATTCGGCGCCACCCCTCACGCAGATCCGCGGGGCCAGGGTCCAAAAACACAAAGGATGTACCACATTTTTGAAATTCGGTGCCACCCCTCACGCAGATCCGCGGGGCCAGGGTCCAAAAACATATGGGATTTGCCACATTTCTGAAATTCGGTGCCACCCCCCATGCAGATCCGCGGGGCCAGGGTCCAAAAACACAAAGGATTTGCCACATTCCTCAAATCCGGTGCCACCCCTCACGCAGATCCGCGGGGCCACGGTCCAAAAACAATGGATTTGCAATATTTCTGAAATTCAGTGCCACACCTCACGCAAATCCGCGGGGTCAGGGTCCAAAAAACACTTAGGATTTGCCACATGTCTGAAATTCGGCGCCGCCCCTTACGCAGATCCGCGGGGTCAGGGTCCAAAAACACATGGCATTTGACACATTTCTGACATTCGGTGCCACCCTTCACGCGCATCCATCGCAAGGCGTGGCAACCCAAACTGCGAGAACTCCCTCTGCCCTTTAATCGCAAGGTGCGGTAACCAAGCCCGTAAACCATGCACGTCTTACCAATCGCCAGGCGTGGTAATCCCTCTTCTGGTCAGTTGTCTTTGCTGATTGCGAATCGGCTTCGCATGAAGTTTCGATACTGCTTCACGACGGCGCCAGGGCCTCATGACTTAGCTCTTCCATGGCCCATTCTCCGAGAGAGGGGGGCCGGCGGCAGGGGGCGAAGCCCTTGCGGATTATGAAGGTGTCCAGCTCCTCTGGGGGCGGGGGTCGGGCATTGGTGATGGCGTGCAAAAATGCCCCCCCCCCCCCCCCCCCCTTTCTTTAAGTCCTCCTCTATCCATTCCTGGAATTCTTTGGATGCTTTCCGATTTTCCAACTTTTGGTAATGCTGGTATATACCAGAAAGAAGCTTCTGAAACTCGACCCCAGTCTGAATCTCAAAGTTCCAGAAAAATACCTCTGGATCCGGAATGTGGCCTGCGAGATACTCCCCCAGAATGTCCCTGTTGTCCTGGGTGACGTAATCTGGGTAGGTGATGGCTGCGTGTATCTGTGTAAAAGATGCTGGATGGCCCCTACTTGCTGTGGAGCTCGGGCGCGCCGCCGCAGCGCGCCCCGATCACGTGCACGGGCAAGCAGAACGTTCCACCTGCTGGCCATGCTGGTCTCCAACCCTTCTGGCGGCTGCGGCGGGAGGAGTGATTGGCGTTGAAATCTGACACATTGGCCCCTGCTCGGGCGACAGGGGTCTCCAACCTTGTCGTGATACATCTGAAGTTCCAGAGCCCGACTGAGCGTAGCATACTGAAGGGTTAACTCTGGGCTAGCGCAGGCCTGGCAGTAGGGGTATGTCGGGACCAGGTGGAACTCAGATACCTCTGCCTCGGCCTTCTCATAATAATACTCCCATGGCATGTGACCCCCCGGTAGTTGGCGGGGAGGGGGCTCGCACGACTGCATGCCAATATCTCCTTTTGAGCAATACCTCGGCTAACAACTCCTGCTATCCCTAAGTGTGGCTTCCAAGGTCCCTCTAAGATGGCCTCCAGCTTGGTCGAGATGCCTAGCCTCTGATCGACAACACAATAGTCTATCATACGATATCCATTCGAGCAGGTCCAGGACGTGTTCGACGGCGTGATGATTTCCCCGTTTACCCAAGACTGACATTTCACGGGGTGGTTGATCTCGGAAGGGGTACGTTAAAATCGCCTGCAATGATGTAGGGCACCTTACAGGTCCTGATGTGGATGACGATGTCATGGATGATGTCCCGATTGGCCTGATTCATTCCCACTCCAGAATGCAGGTAGACGCCAATCATGAAGCTGATCTTGTCTAGGTTGATGACTACGCTCGTCCAGCGAGTCCCTGGAACTAAAGGTTTGGGGTGGCCCTGGGCACCCATGATCCGCGTGTGGGGGGAAAGGTGGGACCTGACACCCAACAGGATTCCCGCTTGGCTCCCCTCGGCAGTGCTGATGGCTGGACAAACGTAGGTCTTCCAACCCTTCCTCTTAAACTGCTTCCGAACGGGCCCATGCTTGCTCAGAGTGAGGTGCGTCTCTGTCAAAATGCAAACATCCGCCAAAAAGCGCGAGTCTAGGATATATTACCTAACAGCGAAGACTGATAGGTTTCTAGTGGGGTCAAAAGAGAGCAGCAGATGACTCCACAGGGGGGTCCGGGCGGCATCCGGGGAGCTGGGTCCGAACTCGTTTTTCGCAAACAGTCAAACACTTCGTGCTCTTCGACCTCCCAGAACTCCATTCCCGGGCCACATTCTGAATGCCCGGAGCCAACTGTATGCCACTTCGTGCTCTTCGACTTCCCAGAACTCCATTCCCGGGCCATATTCTGAATGCCCGGAACCAACTGTAGGCCACTTCCTGCTCTTCGACTTCCCAGAACTCCACTCCAGGGCCACATTCTGAATGCCCGGAGCCAACTGTAGGCCACTTCGTGCTCTTCGACTTCCCAGAACTCCACTCCCGGGCCACATGTTGAATGCCCGGAGCCAACTGTAGGCCACTTCGTGCTCTTCCCAGAACTCCATTCCCGGGCCACATTTTCAATGCCCGGAGCCAACTGTAAGCCACTTCGTGCTATTCGAGTTCCCAGAATTCCACTGCCGGGCCGCATTTTCAATGCCCGGAGCCAACTGTAGGAGGAGCAGGGGCACGAGCACGAGGAGGAGAAGGACGAGCAAGACGAGGAGGACGAGGACGGGCACGAGGAGGAGGAGGAGCAGGAGAAGGAGGAGCAGGAGAAGGAGGACGAGCAGGAGGAGGAGGAGGAGGACGAGGACTCCTACATGCGAGGACGAGCAGGAGGACGAGCGACTGCGAGGACACCAGAATTCTACACCAGGACTCCTACATGAATCTCCAGGGCAATGTTTCCAGATATGCTTCTACACATCGCTGTTAGGTTGCTTTGCCGGGATAATTTTTTTGCCCGTACATTCCACAAGGTAACGTTGGCGAAATAGAACGTGAGATTCCCAGTGGCTCCCGTTCGAGAGCCCTTGACCTGGGAGAAAGTGGGATACCCGAGCATCATGGCGAGGCTCGGGTCGTACTTCATGGCCGTCGCGGTGGCGTTAGTCACGAAAAGCCCCGTCAGCACTATCATCAATGTGAGCACGGCTGCGACCACCGTCTTCATGCTCGGCAGCCACCGCCGCCGCTGGGGCTCCTCATCGGCTCTGGCGGCCGCAGCACTCCCTGCCCCGCGGGGGCGGCCTCGGCGGGGGCCCCGCGGGCGCCGCCTGGGCTGGCGCGGGTGGCGGCGCCGCCTTGCCGCCGCCCATGGCCGCCGCTGGCGCCGCCGCAGGCCCACGGGCCGCGGGCGGGGCGCCGCTGGCGGCCGCGGCGGCAGCCCTGGCGGCCCCCTGCGGCCCGACGGGGGCTGCGGCCGCCTTGGGCACCTGCTGACCGCACTTGGCGGCGATCTGCGGGTGCTGCGCCACGAAGGCCTGCAGGGCCTGCTGGTCGTGCGGCGTGAGGGACTCGTCCTCGATGACGATGCACTTGGCGCCATCGGGGTTGACGAGCTCCGCCCATTGTTGCGACTTCTTCGCCGCCTCCTGCTTGGCGGCCTGCTCCTGTGAGACTGCCACGTCCAGGTTCGTCTCGGCCTGGGTGAGCTGCTCATTGAGCTGGTCCACCTTGTGTTGGCACTCCTTCTTGTACGTAGCGGCGCGCTGCAAGGCCCTCTTGGCCAAGCCGACGTCGTGGGACAAGGCAGGGACGGCATCAGGCTCCGCTTCGCGCTCTGGCGAGGCGTCCGCTGACAGGTACTGCTCCTTGAACTTCGCGAGCTGCGGAGGTCCGAGCAGTCCCTGGAGCGCCCCCAGGATCTTCTGCAGCTGGGGGTCCCCTGGTGTCGATGCGCCACTGTCGACACCTTCGCCTGGCTCTTCTCCCTGAAGGAGGTGGTTGCCGCACCTGCACAGCGGGTCCTTCCTCGCGCGCGCCAACCACTTCCACTTGTTGCATACGTCGCACACCACGTACTGCTTGTTGGCTGCATCTCGTCCACCTTCTACTCCCTTCCCTTGTCCGTTGTTCCCCGCCCAGCTGTGCCAGCGCTTGCCCCAGGCTCCATCCTGGCGGCTCTCATTGCGGCGCCAAGTCATACGATCTGCCTGGGCCTGTGAAGGGGCTCGGGTCGACTGGCAGGCTGATGCCAGGCAAGCTGGAATGGTCCTCACTGCTGGCCGCGCTCGAGCGAGCTTGGGAAGTTCAAGAGCAGGCCCCTTGAGCCAAAATGGCTACGGAGTCCTCCTCCTCCTCCTCCTCCTCCTCCTCCTCCTGCTCCCCCTCCACCTCCTCCCCTCCTCCTCCTCCTCCTCCTCCTCCTCCACCTCCTCCTCCTCCTCCTCCTCATCCTCCTCCTCCTCTCCGCTCCTCCTCTTTCCTCCTCCCCCTCCTCTCTTTTCCTCAACCTCCCTCCTGGTCTCCTCCTCCTCCTCCTCCTCCTCCTCTCCCCCTCTCCTCTCCTCCTCCTCCTCCTCCTCCTCCTGCTCCCCTTCCTCCTCCTCCTCCTCCTCCTCCTCCTCCTCCTCCTCCTCCTCCTCCTCCTCCTCTTCCCTCCTTCCTCCTCCTGCTCCTCCTCCTCCTCGTCCCCTCCTCCCTCCTCCTCCTCCTCCTCCTCCTCCTCCTCCTCCTCCTCCTCCTCCTCCTCCTCCTCCTCCTCCCCACCTCTCCTCCCTTCTCGTGAAGGGCACCTGGAGAGAGAAAGAGCAC